CACCCGGCCGCCCCCCCAGCTGCTCTGCTCTCGGCTTCCCTGATTCAGCTGCTGGTCAGTTTCAGCAGCAGCTGAATGGGGGAAGTCTGTCCGGCTGCCCCAGCACTTCCGGGTTCCTGATGGTGCCGGACCATCAGAAGTCCCGGAGCATTGGATGCCGGACTAATGGAGTTTTACTGTATACAGGATTTTTTAAAACCAAGTGAGAATATCCAAAGTTAACTTCTACAGAAGTGCACAATCCCTTTTTTTTTAAACTTCTATATGGGGACCTCTCCATGCCTCATTTTCATTTCCTGTCTCTGAACTACTTCAATTTATGTTATATTTTCTCTAAATTGGGTTGCTCAGAACTGAACAAATATTGCCCACCCCTCCAAAAAAACATGTATATCTATTTGTAATAAAAGTGATAGTATTTATTTTTGGACGGGAGAGATTGGCTGAGATACTGGCATTATGGCCACAATTTCCAAATTTGCCTAACATTGATCCTAAATTTTTAGTGATGCACTTAAATAAGCATCTGATTTTCAGAAATGCCAGTAACCCAGCATTTGCCTCTAAAGATGCTAGGTGCTCATCAATTCTGAAAATAAGTTCATTTATTTAGGGCAGTGGTCACCAGCCAGTAGATCGGGATATAAAGGTAGATCTTGGAGCCTCTGACAGGTGATCCTGACTGGTATGGCCACAAAGCTATCAAGGGCTGGCACTTCAGCTGCCTGTCCACCTACTGTCATGCTGCTCCTCCCCTCTGCCTCAGAGCTGCCCCTGGGAGCCTCCTACTTGCTGTGCAAAATGTGGGAGAGAGAAGATGGGGGAACTGATGTCAGGGTGTCCCTCATCCCTCCACTTCTGTACTCTGTCTCCACACAAAGAAAAGGGGATGGAGGAAGCTTGGCAATGCAAATCTCTGTACCGTATTTTCCGGCGTATAGGGCGACTGGGTGTATAAGACGACCCCCTATCTTTTTAATTAAAAGATAGGGTTTCATCTTATACCTCAGCGCCCCTCCGCCTCCTTTGCTCCCGGTGTCCGTGGTCTGCTGGAGATGGTCCCCAGCAGACCAGAGGCACCGGGAGCAAAGCCGCAGCAGCTTTGCAAAGCCTCGGGGGAAGCCCGCGGCGGGGCATCCCGGGCGCGCCTGGGATGTATACCCGGCGTACAAGATGACCCCTGATTTTTGAGGGATGGTTTTTC